CCTACGGCTAGTCTCTGATTACAGGGTCTCTAGGCCGACGACACGCACGAAAACGCAAGTGTAGAAGTCGCGCGCGGGCCGGCCAATCGCGGCCGAGGATCCCCCCCGGGAAAATGAGCCGGCCGTTTCGAAATTCTCAGCCGCGATTGGCGGAATCGCGCTTCCAAGTTCCACGCTCGACTCAACGGCGGTTCTTTTTTCTACAAGCCACCGCGCGCTTCCTCGGCGCTTGGAGGCCTTTCGGCCTGTCCGGCGCCGTCGGTCCCGTTCCCGGTCGTCTTCTTTAGTTTATGCCCGACGTCGCGATCGGTCGGCCGATCCTCTCCTACTTGCCGTCTGCAGCCGGGACGCCCGTGCGGAAGTCTCTCTATCTCCTCTCTTATCTTCCCTCCCTCCTGTTCCGCGCGCGGAGTCGGCGCAATTCCGGGGAAGTTCGCCACAAGCTCGCCACACGCCCGCCACACGTGCTCCCGAGGATCACTTAAGTCGGTATGAAATCAACGAGCGCGATCGCTTCCCCGATCGCGCGGATTGCTCTCTTCTTTATAGCCGTATATAGCGCGCTGCGTGGTCGCGTCCTCTCGAGATAAAATAGGCGTGCGATCGGACATCGTGGAGAGGAAAAAAGAGGAGGACGGACGCGGAGACAGGCTCGACGTTTGTTCTCCGCTTTGTGTGCACTTTGTCTTCGAGCTCCGCACTTTTCACGGTTTCTCCCGTCTCCACGCCCAGTGAGAAATAATTGGTCGAAACGACGTCAATCTGACGGCGCCGATGTCGATCGACATCGTTTCGACATCGCCCAGTGAGAAATGATTCGTCGATCGATGTCGAAACGATGTCGAATCGACGGCAATTTGACGGTATCGATGTCGACTCGACATCGTTTTGACATCGATCGACGAATCATTTCTCACTGGGCGGTCGTCGAGTCATTTCCCGCTGGGCCCCTCCAACGTCTCTGATTATTTTTTATTTTATGTCAAGTGCAAGGAAGTGCCAGAAAAGTGGAGTAGCTACGAAGACCTTCGTCTCCGCGTGCGTGGAGGAAGAGGAATTTTACTTTCCGTGTGCCACTGCTTTTCCTCGACGAGCCCCGGTCAAGTCGCGCGGATTCTCCTCGGTTTTCTCCTCGAGCTCTTCAAGTCGCTTTCCCCCGATCCCCAAGGCTATTTACGTACCAAACAAATTCGACTGATGCCCGTTCCTGCCAATACAGATGGAACTTTCATCTCGGTTTAAATTACTTTCTACCTTTTTCCAATTTTTGAACTGTGAAAAGATCTAAAGTGAGTTAAGCCGAGATTAAAGTTAATCCGCATTGATAGAAACGAACGTAAATTGAACGAATAACGAGGCACCCTCGATAGTGAGATTAAGGGCCAGTTTCGGTTAATTGCTAACCGAAGGTTAATTGATCCTCTGTCTCTTCTTAAATAATTATAAGATGGAAAAAGATAGGGAGTCGACTGCACTCTAGTTAACAGTTAACCGATGTTTGTGAAACTGGCCCTGAAACAAAATGCTTAGGCTTGGTTTCACCAACGTTGTTTAACTTTAAAAGCTTTTAGCTTAATTCGTTCTTGGTCCCTTCCCAACTGTTACTTTAGAGAGAGAGACAAATACGAATTAAACTAGGATTAAAGTTAAGCCACGTTTGGTGAAACTGGGCCTTAGACCACCGAAATTTGAAGTTACTCCACTTTATTTCTCGCCAGAGATCATTTTGGTTCAATTATTGCCCGAAAAGCCGAGCCAAAGCGTCCGATTTATAATAGTGTAGCCATCAAAGATCGATAGAGCATTAATTTACGCACCGTCGAGCTCCAAGTTTTTCTACTTGTCGCTTATTAAATTCATTTAAGGTCGGTCGATCGACCGATCGGCACGGTCAAGATTGGAAGCTACGTCCTCGGCGATCCTTGGTTGTCGGAGCGCCTTGATTCTCGTAGAGCATGAGGAGAAGCGTAGAATTCGCGCGAGAACGGAGCACGACGGGAACGAGAGAGGTCGGCGGTTATTTTAACGTACCGAATTGCTAAAAGTGACTCCGAGCCGGGTCCGTTTCGGTGTGCCGCGAAGGCGGGAGAAACAATAAAGATTCCAGGCCGAAACTAAAGGAGATAAACCAAGACAAACGCGTGTCCGCAACGGTTACGCTAATGTGATAACGATGTATTTTCGAAAGACATAACCCGGTCACAGTACGGGAATTCTGTAACTTGCAATCGATGCCTTTCGGTATCGTTAACTAGCGACAGCCAATGGCGAGGACGATCTTCGAAAAAGACGCAGATTTTCGTTGGTTGTTCCAAGTTAATCGTTATCGAAAAACCTCGATAGCAAGTTACGGAATTCCCGTACAAAAATGACTCGCCGATCGATGTCGAAACGATGTCATCATTGGCTCTTTCTAAAGTTTGTACACTGTTTCAGCCAAACGCGCAGTCTATATATTAGGTCATCCAAAAAGTTGTGAGAATTCCGGCAATCTATCGCATTTGGGATCGGTTTGTTCGGCAGTGCGTAGGTCAAAGCTTATTGGTGAGGGCTCGTTTAACAGATGGCGCTTTGCTCTTTCAAATGCAGGTCTTGTGTGGCAAACAAAGCGAGCAACATTGAATGGCGCGATCGCGAAGATGGGCAGCCAAAAGCTTCATTTACGCCACGCTATGCCGTTTTGCTTTCGGAGAGGAAACACCGCGGTGGAAACCACCCGTGAAATTTGCAACATTTACATGGAGGATGCTGTATCAAATCGGACAGTAAGCCGATGGTTCGCGCGATTTCGTAATGGCAATTTAGGGCTTGAAGATGCCCCGCGGTCTGGAAGACCTTCCACACCACTCGAAGACCACCTGAAGCAAACAGTGGATGAAAATCCTGAAGTGTATTGGAACTCTCACAAGACCTCAACGTTCCCAGTACGCTCCATGACAATACATTTTTGTTTTAGAGCCTCAAAAATTCTCAGAACTTTTCGGATGACCTAATATTATACGTCTATGCTGGAAACCAGCGAGAAATGATTCGTCAACTCGACGCCGATCGACGAGTCATTTCTCGTTGGGTTTCGCGATATGGCTCGAATTACGAATTAGTGGAGGGCTATCGCAGCACGGGGTGAACGTGCCTTCTCCGATTCCGCGAACCACGTTCCGCAGATCGAGCCATGGTGTGAAGATACAAGGTGAAGCAATCTGGTGGAGGCGCAGTGTCAATCAGAAGTGGCCCAAACTACTGAATTGACCAATCAGAAATTTACCCCAACCTTCAAGCTGCAAATCATTGCGGTTGAATGCAGGAAGAACCAATGAACAATTTGCCCGAAAAATTGGTTACATGCGCAATGTTTCACCTTGTATCTTTACACCATGGATCCGGTGGCCACGCGCGAATATCGCGTTACCGTACGCGCTCGCCCGACACGTGCGCGTCGGCGCGATCTGACGCAACAACGGCCGGCGCTCACGACACGCGAGTATTCTCTATTGTTCTACCAGGTCGAACCACGAAACGTATCGACGTTGACTGCCACGGTGGTCACTGATGGCTACCAACGTTGCTTCAGAAATGAAATATATGTCGTAAGAGATAAGAGTCGTTTAATATTAAAAAATTTGAACGGCATAATAAAGTAATTAGATGAGAACACGCGGGCAGAATTTTCTTTTAAAATTTATTCTGAAAATATTGTAATCGTGGGACAACACGGCATTTCGAAGAATTTTATGAGAGTTTTCTTGTAATTTTGCCATACATTGCACTAATAATTATACTTAGTATACATTCTACTAGTAAAATGTATGGTAAACTTCCAAAAATTATTAATAAAATGTATGGTAAACTTTCAAAAAAACTCTCATAGGTCCGATTTTTAATTTTCTGGTTAATATTAACTAGATAGGCGATTCCTTGTCTCTTCTTAGATAATAATATAGAAACGAATGGGGAGTCAACTATAAACTTGTCGTTAACAGTTATCGTTAACATGTGCGTATTCTTATTATACAAGAATTTCGTGGCGTACTCGGTAAAACATAAAAAAACTCAAGGTTTGTACGATTATCTGCCTTGTGCTGATAATTATACATATGTTACGAGTGATAATTATACTTATATTACCCGCTACACGGTGTTTCGCTACAATTCTCAATAAAAAAAAAGATACTTTGTACATGCTTTGGTCATGAACTCGCTGTCCGATACTAAATTTTAAAACGATAGTTAACTTATGCCCGTCTCTACCACTGCAGATTAACTTTACTCTCGGCTTAAATTACGTCTCATCTTTTTCTAATTTTTAATACTAGAGAAAGATATATAAAGTGAGTTGAAACCGAGATTAAAGTTAATTTGCGTTGGTAGAAACGGGCATAAGTGTAAGATGGAATTTTCGTGTCACGGGTTTTGAAAAGAATTATCTTCTCTCTTTTTCTCAAATGAACTCTTCTAATAATAATATCTGTAAATGTGAACAATCATCTCGTCCGGTTGCAGAGATAGCTCGCCCTTTCTTTTATCTATTTATCGCGTATAACAATAACTTATTCGTACGTATACATCAACCGCGTGCCGGTCTGACGTTAGGGAGAGGTTGTCGTTCTGATAAAGAAGATCTTACTCCCTCGGATCTATTTATAAATGATATTCCTGGTCGCCTACGCGTTTTCTGCCACGCTCCCAACTTGCGCCGAGGAAACGATTTACGTTCGTTATAACCTTTCGAGAGGCGGAGGGAGGCGCGTGATCGATGTATATCGATGATTCATTAAATTGTTGAGAGCTATTAAACGCTTGACGTGAGCAACGTCGAGCGCAGGCTCGGGTTCTGGAAACTGATACCAGACTATCTCGTTGGGCGAAGACAAGTAGAGGCAGTGGGAATTTAAGTTCTGGCCTCCGATGGTCTCTATCCACCTTCCAGTGAGAAATGACTCGTCGATCGATGTCGAAACGACGTCGGATCGACATCGACACCGTCAAATTCGACGTCGTTTCGACATCGATCGACGAACCCAGCGAAAAATGACTTGTTGATCATCTACGATCGCGCGTTGTACGAAGCGAAAAACGTGGAGGGTTTTCGGTCGTCCGACCCGGAGACAGGGGGAGGAGGAATGAAATAATGCACAAAAGATTTTCGTAACGCGAGCCAACACGTATCACCACCTCACCAAACAAGAATTGTTATTCCAGTTTTTAGTGCAAATCGAATTTCAGCGAATTTCATTAATGCCTAAAACACGTAGATACATATCGTTTACATGCGCCTTGAGTTGCGCATCGCGACAGCAAAATAACATTCGAAATCGACCACAATCAACTGATTAAGATAAACTCCGAACGGACCGTTTGTGAGCTTCATTGAAATAAAGATTCGTTTCACCTCGTGATGTATAACGAAACGCGAATGAATTGGACCTCGTATTTCCCATAAGCGATTCAGCGATTTCGGCTCGACTGCGAGCAAGTATAGTACGTCGTAATCGCGATAAAATAGCTGACAGCTATTAATCCGCATATTTTTGACGTATATAAAGCCGAAGCTAAAAATAGTTTTTACTTCAAGAAATGCAAACACGGAAAAAATACGTTCTTTGACTTAATGTCGTATCGATTGCAAGATTAGTCTAAAGTTGGCCAATTACGCTGATTGCATCAACCGTTTGCTAAGTCTTCCCTTTAATACGATTATGATTGTAAAGGTCTGTATAATTGCTGCGATATTGCGACAAAAAACTGGAAGCCTATTAAGGCCGGTGTCCACGATGACTATAGAACTTGGCCCGAGAAATGTGTAGCCAATCAACTTGCAGCTTTTGCGGAATAGCTGCAAGTTGGTTGGCTACATCTCTCGAAACTAGAACTTGGACCAAGCATCGTGGACACAGGTGGCCTTAACTTACGTAAGAAAAATGTTATTATCTTTCAAGATCTTTACATAGATATTCTTTTGGATGATTATCGTGAGTGATTATCGCGTTGTCCAAACATGAGCAATATTTAGTTTCATGTAATGCGTTTTACCCAATGGAATAATGCAGACACAAACACAAAATTATACTGCTTGTTTACACGAAATGCAAAACTAGACCACCTGAACCAAACGCGTTTTCCTTTATTTTCCTTCGCTCGCGGAACCTCATTTCATATTAAAATATTACAAGAATGTCTTATCGCGCGGAGTGCTGTTTACCCAATGTAGATATAATCAGTGCGCTATTGCGTAATAGGAACACTTGCGTTTTCGTCGTAGGAAAATAATGACGTTACGCCGCCTAATAATTTTATTTACGCGCAACGACTACACGTTGCGCGTGATCTAACAATAAATTTTCCATTAAACAGACTTTACTCCAAGGGCAATAAATTCATGGTGGGACCAGCAGACGATGCCTGTTAATTTTGCAGAGACCCGCGCTATCTCATATTAAAAGCCTATCTCATAATAGGGGGACTTTCCTCTAATTGTATTAATTAGCCGCGAGGATCATCAGCTTCTCAAGTTATTTCGTCATCCGTGCGATTAGATTGAAGTCTCGATACCTCGCTCTTTCGACGGGCGTCAAGATTCGCAGCACAATATATATAGTGCGTAAATCACGCACGACGCATTGTATCGCGATATTTATCCAACTGAAATCTTTATTTAATCGACCGCGGACATTCGCATACGTTATAGGTAGAGCTGAGGGATCAAAAGGATCCCGCGATAGACTGACGATCACCAGGCGGCGCGGTCCTCCTACCTTACACCGATGTGTCAAATCGGCAAAGGTGCAGTTAAACGATTAAGTAACGCAGTCTTTGAAGCTACATCGTCTGGCTTCAAAGACTAATCAAGCTCGCGTCGCGGGACTTTTGTGTAGCGGCAAACGGGCCAGCAAATACGCTGTTGCGCATCTTCCATGCGCGACGAGAACGCTCGCGGGCGAAAAAATTCTCTTTACTCACGCGAAACCGACTGGAGATTTTTTAAATATGTATTTCTTTAACCAAAACGCATTGAAAGAGACAAAGATCAATAACGTCTCTCTCGTCGAGGAAGGAGCGAGATTGGCTCTCGATTAGCCAAATAAATTGCCATCACGTGTCAACGTGGTGATGGAAGATCGCATATGAAATACTTCCTTAATAGAAGCTATCGAATCGTGTATATTAATTCAACTGGTAGAGCTCTAAGTTTCTTCTTTATCGAAAGTTGCAGATATCTCTCCAACGAGCGGAGCCAGTAATCGACCAGAATAATTGCCGATAACGATGGCGATCAGCGAGGAGGCCGGCGACGGGGACGTCGGCGGCTTCGGTCGGGAAGGTGACGGCGGGTCGATCCTAACGATCGATCACACTGCCGCGGGTGATCCAATCGGCACGTCGAATCACGCTCGGCGCCGTCAGGCCGACCTCGACAACTTGGATTCGGGTGAGGGCAATCCCCTTCTGGCCGGGAGCGCGCCAGTAACGGTTGACGCGCCGACCGGGAAGCTGATGAGAATGCACAAAGTGGAGAACGCGGTGGCGGCGCAGACGGACGGAGACGCGATGTGTCGAAAGGTGGACCCCGACGACGAGGACCGCGCGAGCGAGGCGGCCGTCGGGCCGCCCGACGGCGGTCTCAGGGCCTGGCTGGTAATGATCGCCAGCTTCACGATCAACGGCGTGCTCTTCAGCATCATCAACACGTATTCCCTCATCTACCCGGAGCTGCAGAAGCGACTGGCGGAGGCCGGCGAGACCGAGGTCTCCTCCAAAGCAGGTGCGAAACTTGTCCGGCGTATTGTTGAGTTTTCCCTCGTCTATCTTAAAAAAAGAATTGCATATGTGTGCTTTATTGAATTTGTATTCTTATGTGATATTCCGGAGAATCGAAAACTTATTGGCGATATTTAGCTTCGAGAGTGACGATGATATGATACAATTGTTTAATTAGAGCGTTTCACTTTTATACGAAGAAATTTCATCGGGCGTTAATTCGATTATTAATTCGATCAGGAAGAACTTCACCGAATTTGAATTACGAAAAAGTGACGTAAACATGTGTGCATATTCGCGCGTATTCTCAAAAAACCAGGTGCTGAATCGCGGATTTACGGAGAGAAAATACCGGCAAGCTCCCCGCGAAGAGGTAATTGCAATAGGTAAAGAATTTACTAAGATTATGTCAATTTATCGTTCTCGAGTGTGTTTAAAGTGTTTGCTCGACGATAAGGCACGTATGCTCCTTGTAATTTTCCGAATTTCTTAAAAATGAAAAACTGGGTTTGAATTTCATCATCATAAGTTAATGTTGAATTTGTTTTTATCATAGCAGTCTGTATATTGTTAGAAAACAAATACTTTCGTCGATTCTCTCGCATAAACTTATTCAAATGACATTTTAAGTTTCCGTGTTTTGATAGTACGTAAAAATTTATCGTTATAAATTTTCGATGGAGTTTTTTAACGATTTAATTTATTATACAGATCACATTAATTATGAAACTGATGAAAGGAAGGAGCTCAGAGCCGTGACACAGGGTGTTTTAAAAATAATTTATCAAAAACGATGTAAAACAAGTGTTTTTTAAAGAAACGGTTTAACACTTTATCACGGCCCTTAGCTCTTTTCTTTTATCAATTTTGTTATTCGTCAAAATCTTAGATCTTTATTAACATTAATTATGATTATCGCATTAAGTATGGTGTTGACATTGGAAATTAAAATGAGATCTATCCCGAAATCAAACTCTAATTCGAGAGAAACGTGAAAACTCTTATAGCTTGAAATGTAGCAATACTTGAAGATGTCTTTCAATATTTGTTCTTAGCCATTTGATAAAATATTTTATTTCTGTCCACTCTTGAATTTTAGGCCTTTTCTCCAGGCCTTCGAGGACCTCCATGCCTAGCGGCGTGATTTTTTCTGAAAGGTGTTTTAAATTAAAATGCGAATATATTGAGTTGATGAATAACTTCGTCCCGTTTTCAAACATTTGCGCACTTTATATACGAGTTCAATCTGCTATCAACTTCACACTTATATGACGTATTAAACATTTGAAAGTAGCAATTGAACTGAAACTTTACTGTCAAATTTGTTGTCGTCGATTGATGTTTGCGAGTCGTGTGAATTTATAAAGATGGATAAAAATCAACATCACTTTCGGCGTATTATGTTTTTTTTATTTTCTAAAAGGCAAAATTGCAGTTCAGACCAAAAGAAAAATATGTTCTGTCTACGGAGCAGATGCTATTGGTGATTCCGCCATTCGTAAATGGTTCCGACGATTCCGTAATGAAAATTTTAATCTTACGGATGAGAAACGTTCTGGACGGTCCTCCGAAATTGACAATCACGAAATCTTGACCTTGATTGAAACTGACCGTCATAATACAACTCGCAAGATTGCTGATATCACTGATTAAATGTATATCGACAAAATATAACAAGTGTAAAATTTTTGGTTTAAAAACAGGACGAACTTATGCATCAACCCAATACAATATTGAAAAAAAAAACACATTGAATTTAGAAAGAGAATGAGGTGAAGAGAAAATGAACAATACAATTAATACGTATATTTGTTGTATTCTTTATTATTTTATTTATACTGTTGGCCTACTGTGGGCTCTGTTTCACGCAGGTTCTTTTTACCTCTTGTGACGAAAAATTCGACTATAACTTATATTGCCCCGTTATACTGGCAGCCTGTGAAGTTCAATTAACAACTCTATATTCAAATGTATTTATAACGTATATATAAGATCTACTAACAGATTGCTTGAAAAGGATCAAAGCCCATGGTCGAAACGTAGCGTTTTTAAATAAAGAAAAGAAAATTTTTGCCAGTTACGGTCAAATAATATAGTATACTTAATTTGTATTTTATTTATAATTTGTATATATTAATTGTACATATATAGCAAGAAATTTTGGCATGACACTTTAACAACTTTTTAATTTCGCTTTAACGTTGATTACACAACTGCATTAAATGATACGGATAATATAGATACGGATAAGTTATCTTTTGTTAATCACCATGATATCGACCTTAAATTTATATTAACAGTACAACCGTTTTTCTTAAATATCGGAACAGCTACATGGATCTACTTATACTCGTATTAGTTTATACTGCGTAATCGATAATAGAATTTGAAGTGCGAGATTAAAAATGACTTTAAAAAATCGGATTTTGTTTCAAATAACCGCGTGACGATCGACGATTTAACGTTCCCGATACGGCGCGGACCTAATTGCGTTTCATTATACCGTAATTTTTCGTATCGATTGTACGCGTGAATATCCGAAGGATTCTCGATCGTTAGCACGTGCGGTTCGACGAACCCACTATCCAGTCTCCTCGAGTTTTCCTCAGTTTCGATAACGTATCAGTTACGCGACGTCTTTTTACTACTGTTGTATATGCGTTTGTCTTCGCGTTTGTTTCGCCGTTTCCTCTCTTCGCGTTTAAATCGTTAAACCGCGAGGGCAAGAAGTTATCCGACCGATGCACAAATTAAAAGCCATGAGATTGATCGTTTACACAGGGCCGGGCCCTTAAATACCGATGGTCTAAATTGTACGACAATTAGACAGTCATTTATAGTAATAGAGGCTGATTCGTGCTACTTGTTAAAGCTGCTTCATCAAATGCCTAATCGCCGGTCCTGCTTGTAACGAAAAGAGAAATATAATTCATAAATTGCCGACCTAGATACGCGCTAACTTACAATGTGCATCCGATCGATCGCCACGATCGCTAATTGACGTAATTATCTCGTCCATTGTTAATACGCGCACATTTATTGGCCCATCTCTTTATTATTCGCAATGAAGCGATGACACTGCTTCTTGTGCGCGAGGCCTGATGTTCAACATTCCAAATTAAATTAAATAAATCGACCGCAACTGGCAGAAAAGTATCCTTCATTCAGCCAAGAATACACAACGTTTCGGCCTCTAGTTTAGGCCCTTATCAAGTGGGATCTAGGGAAACAAAGTTTCAAATGGAGTTTGCAATAACGCGGAGATATTGAGTCGCCAATTAGGCGTTATTAGAAATGAAACACCGGGCCTTAATCATATGGAGTTTACTTATATAAGTTAACATACAACTGTCGAGAATACAAATTAAGAAATAAAGTACGTAACGACACGAATAATGTTGAAGCGATGGATCTCTCGCTTCGTAGTGCGGCCATTTTTAAAATTCGTCCCGCGGGAATTTTATTATTGCTCATCGGGTATCATTTTGGAATTGTTTCAGCTTTGGTTGGCTCGCTAACTATCGGAACCACGTTCTTCCTGTCACCGGTCGCCGGTATACTGACGGATAAATTCGGCATCCAGACAACCACCTTCGTGGGAGGTGCGATCGCGTCCGTTGGCCTGCTCCTCTCCTCGCTGCTAACGGACAAGGTAATGGGAGGGCAATAGAGCTCTTTCCTAATCATCTTGCGAATCTCTATTTGCTGCGGAATCATACACGGAATCGTCGTTTCGCGTGTCTGCCAGGTGGAACTGCTCTTTTTAACGTACGGCGTTATGTACGGGCTTGGCGCGAGTCTCGCTTACACCCCGAGCCTGGCGATATTGGGCCACTACTTCAAAAAGTATCTCGGCCTGGTGAACGGTATCGTCACGGCCGGAAGTTCGATATTCACGACGCTGCTGCCGACCCTCATGGAATTCCTGCTACGGCGTTTAGGCCTGGAAGGAACGCTGAGGAGTCTGGCCCTCCTCACGGCCATCATCATGGCTTGCGCGATCCTTTTCAAGCCGATACCACGTAAGCTTTCCTTTACAGCTCGTAGGCATTTGCGTAATTTGCTTGCGTTGATTAATACGTTATTGACGCAGATATATCAGTTGCATTTAGTTTAATCATCTTGCGAAGTTGTTAGGTCAAAATTGATAAAGTTTTTACAATAAGATCCCTGATTGTATTTATCTTGTACTTTCTGTCATGATTTTCTCTGATATTTTACACGTTACAGATGAAAATTTGTTCCCCTTTTTCTAAAATAGAGGATCGCAAATATTTAAGCGAAGAAGAATTTTTCCATTAATTTTACGATATAAAATATTGGCTTATCTTCGCGGCCATAGCGTTAGTTTCCGCATAAAACGCCCGGTCAGCAATGCGTTAATTTTGCTCGGTTTGCTTTTCTTTATTTACATCGACGAAACATATGATTGTCATTCATTTAAGATTAAAAGAGCGCAACAGATTTTACGTAAAATTGAGTTTTGTTTTTCAAAATTAATGCATTTCGAAAAAATTTGGAGTTAACAAGGGGTTTAACGAGCACACATCTTTTCAGTGACTACACCGCAGGGGGATGAATCGCAAGGCAAGACGAAATCGATACGAAGTCGCCTGAAAGAATTCGTGAACGTATCTATCTGGAAGAAGAAGCGATACGTCGTATGGGCTAGCTCTATTCCTCTCGCTCTTTTTGGGTGAGTCGGCTGTTTGCCCTATCATTATGCTTAGTTTTGGCAAATTCACTGATTGCGAATGAAATATATATCTCAGTTTATCGCGGTTCGTGACACATAAGTACGATGAAGATTGAACCGAAATAGAAATGATCCAGATAAGTCGCATGAGTAGCTGTAATATGTCACGAAAACCGAACCCAAATAGATAATCCCAATAAATCACTGTAATCGCAAACTAATCAACGTTTGATTACATTACAGTGTCTGAAATCTTTTATTTATTTATTTATTTTAACAATACTTTGAGTGTTTATCAGCTCCACGTGGTTGCTGACCTTTCTCCCGAATAGATATCACTGCTTCTTTTATTGAACAATCCCCTCTCTCTCATTTAACCGTAAAGAAATTGACTTTTTCCACATAAATCCCATTATTTTATTCTACTTGTACAGAGATAAAGAAAACTTGGTTGTCATTTCAGATACTTTGTCCCGTACGTTCACATAGGAAAGTTCGTGGCCACGACGTTCAAAGATGCCGACAGCAAGCTGCCAGTTATGTGTATTGGCATCACTTCCGGTATTGGCCGTTTAATTTTCGGTTACATCGCCGACTTGCCGAAAGTGAACCGAATATTCTTGCAGCAGGTGAGCACCCAAGCAGGAGCTTCGGAGGAAAAATCACAACGTCTAAAATTCTTTCAATTAAAAATAAAATTTCTACTTTTCTTTCTCTCATTGGAACTTTAATGTTTTGATAAAAAAAAGTGGATACTCTCTTTCAGATATCGTTTTTAAGTATCGGTGTTCTGACGATGCTGCTTCCGGTCACCAAGTCCTTCTTAATGCTTCTGGGTATCTCGCTGGGCATGGGGTTGTTCGATGGATGCTTCATATCATTACTTGGCCCGATCGCGTTCGACATTTGCGGCCGCAACGGCGCAACTCAGGCCATCGGCTTTCTTTTGGGGATGTGTTCTATACCTCTCACGGTTGGCCCGCCGATCGCGGGTCTCCTTTACGATCATACTGGTAATAATTTTAATAATTTGCCTCCACGTACCGATAACAGAGTAAAAAAGTGGGCAGAGGGCAGGGAATTTTCCTCGTTTATTTTATTTCGTACAACGAATGATTAACAATGCGTGTTACTTGTGCTATTATCAGGTAGCTACGATTTGCCTTTCCTGCTAGCCGGCATTCCCCCGATAGTGGGAGCGTTGACAATGTTTCTAATAAGGTGTGTTAAACAAAATGACGATAGAAGTTCAAACGATCCTGAGAGTCTTCCGAGTAAAGCGGATTGCCAGAATGGTCGGTAAAACCAGGTATCTGTATATCATCAATTTTTTTTTCATTGTAATGGATTTTGTAATGCTAGAGCAAAGAAATGTCGCCTTTACTTGCCTTCACGTTTCCGTTTGAAAAGAGGCTTCTCGCAATATGTGTCACATAATATCTTTGTTCTAACCAGCCCAGTGAGAAATGATTCGTCGATAGATGTCGATTTGACGGTGTTGATGTCGATGCGACATCGTTTCGAGATCGATCGACGAGTCATTTTTCGCGGGGAGTATTGTGTCAAACTTGCTTTTGCGTAACTGTTTAGTTTAGTCAGACTAGTATGTTGTCTCCGCCGCACGCTTGTTGCTCATTTAATCATATTCCATACTTTGAAATAATGAAATTTGCAGGGGGAATGAGAACTAATGATTTCTTACCGGCGGTCGCCGTCGAGAAAAATTGTCAATCAGCGGTGCAAGAGAAGTACCGTGCGACGTACGAAAACCTGCCATCGTCTCAACGCTATCGCGTCAAGCAACCGGCTGAACTGCAAAACAGTTTAGCATACAAGTACGGCAATTACTGCAGATATTCGGAGAGCGTACCGTTGCTTTACGGAGAGAGGATCTCACGATGTCGTAGCACAAGTTTCTCTTAACAAATTCTCGACGCTTTACATGTTTTGAACTCATTTTGATACTGCAAATTCTTCTGCTCTGAGGAATTTAATTCGTTTGTAATTATTATCTATTCCCAGCGAGAAGTGACTCGTTGATCGATGTCGAAACGATGTTGAATCGACATCGACACCGTCAAACTGATGATTGAATCAAACGTCAAATTTGATAGTGTCGATGTCGATTCGGTGAATCATTCTCACTGGGTTAAATCAAAGTAAAAAATGGAATCTATATCATATTGTAAAATGTTATTTCTCTTTGTATGTTGCGACGTATAATGAATGCACAGAAAGGAATATGTATATATATTAATTTTTACTTAAGACATAATTAATTAGTTTGATTATAATAATAATTTCTAACTTTGCGTTCTGAAAAATGGCAACAACCATATTGTATCAGTTTTAGCATGTCCTAAAACGTGTAACTAGTTTTGAAAGAACGTACTTATCAAAATGATCGAATTAAGCTTTCCAGATACAGAGATATATTTTACAGACATATAAATCAAAACATCGAATATTAAAGAGAAAAAAATTTACTGTTTGAATTATATATTTATTAGAATTGTATACCTGATTAGAAAAAAGTTATGCAAGCGAATACGATATACAGGTTGTCTGATAAGTAACTGATCAATCGAAATATGTAGGTAGATTAGGGCAAGCTGAAGAGAAAAGTCAGATACCATGATGCAAAATTCGCAATAGTTATTGAGTTATTAATTATTACGTCTAAGCGAATGAGTGCGCAGAAACCGGCTTCCGGCTCGGTGGGCGTAGTGTCGCTCGTCGCTCAGCGCCCACCACCCACCACCCACCCTCTTGTCCGCGGCGCGCGAGCTACGAGCGACGCTACGTCCACCGAGCCCGGCCTTCAGTCAGAAGCCTATTTCCGCGCGCTCATTCGCTTAGATGTAATAATTAATAATCCAATAACTATTGCGATTTTTGCATCATGGTATCTGACTGTTCTCTTCAGCTTGCTCTAATCTACCTACATATTTCGATTGATTAGTAACTTATTAGACACCCTGTATAGATTTCAATTAAAACGTGCCTAGTAGAAATAAGAATGTGATTATAGTAAAACTATGATTTTATTACTTGATAAAATAATAAGTAGGAACAGTTTTATTCTTCGATATTTAACTTTTTTCTCGTAGAAATAGGAATAACAAAGAAAATAAACAAAATTAATAGTTGCGTGAATTAGGTTTTCCCAATTAGCCCGTCATGGGCGCAAACATGGATGCATTTGTATCCAAAATTTTAGCATTATTAGCTACGAATTACAAAAAAAGTAGTAGAATTAACAATACACGATTTCATTTGGCATAGTAATTTTTAGAAATTTTTGTTAATAATATCGAGAAAATGAGCAATCATGAGACACGGTAGTGTCTCGCGCCAAGTATAAGGTAACTAGAACCGCGCGCGCAAGACCGACCGTGTAGTTTACGCGAGTACGCGTAGTTATAATACATGAAAGATGTTTTTCTTTTTCAGCTACGAGAAATTTCAACTCATTTATGTGCATCATAATTGAAAACTAACAATTATGTGCGTAATATATAGTATATATGAGATGAAGTAGCGTTTAAACAATTATAAATTCTATTAAAATCAACATTGATATCTGGCTATTGGCCAGATAGCATTTATTTTTTAAATATTTTAATGTATTATACGTATATAAATTTTTTAATCGATTACATTACGTAACTTCTATGCTCTTGATTATTTGTGTCACAAAGGATCTGCGATTTATACAAATTATTTCACTGTATACATTTTTTAATTGACTACATTATATAACTTCTATGCTACTGTTGATTATTTGTGTCACAAAGGATCTGCGATTTATACTATTTTACTATATATTTTTTGTTGTATTGTAGAACAAAGATTCACAATGTTATAACTGTTATTAATTAGCTATTTTATGCATGTAACTAACTTCATCGTTGGAATATTTCATTCTATTATTATAGACTTAATTTAATGAGAATTAAATTAATAAAAGGATTTAAAGAGAATATATATCAGAATAAATATTTGTATACGAAACAAACAGCTATGCCACAGTACAATAATTGTTATTTTGTACAAGAAATGAATATGCTATATACAGAAATATATCAATACTGTACGAGTGAAAAAACAGTATCACTTATTGTTAGATTCATACTTAAACCACTCCTCAATCCATTATTCGCGGTATTCTAATAGAGCAGGAATGAAACAAATTCAAGATTAAAATAATTCTTCAGACTTGATGATTATTTCTACTCTCTTTTGTTTTCGAAATTGTAATACTCGCAATTTTATTACAACTTTTCTTCCGATACTTTGGTGATTTTCGCGATTCTTGGAATTTTGAAAAATTGATAAAATGTTAGATTGTATAATTTTTGTTTCTATTTTTGATTGTATAATGGTTAGTTACTTTTTTTGGTAACTCGTAACTTTCTCTCCATCTGTAACTGTAACTTAACTTAGTTACATTTTGTTGATAATTGGTAACTAATTAAATATATATATATTTATAATTACATTAATAGTTACTTTATATATATTTTAAACCTCCACAGATCGCATTAGGCCTTGCACTTGCACATAAATGCCTTTATCGATGCTTTACAATTCATATGCAGATTTGATATTTTTATTTTCACTGTAAGAAAGTAACTCCAAAATAACGATTCGCTACTTTTTGAGTAACTATAACTGTAACACGTTACTTTTCAGAATTGGTAACTTCCTAGTGAGAAATGATTCGTCAATCGAAAAGTCATTTCTCGCCAGGTTGTAACTGCAATTATAGATATTTGTATAAAGTAACTTTCCTAACACTGGTTCTAATATATAATGGTACATTAATTAGAATAATAATTTATCGGAACGTTACGGAAAGAGGATTCGAAGCATGAAAACCGATTTACGCGCGCGCGCCAGAAGACACGACCCACGAAATCAAAACATTTCAACACACTATGCGTATTTATTATAAGTGAACTTGACTATGGATCTGGATAAAACGTTGTGTGCTTCTCTTAGATGGAAGGAGTCGTGTGATATAACGAGATCAGTTAGGAGTCATGGAATCCAAAACGAGAAATGAGATTAGTATCGACTTATATAACAGATTCTTCTATGCGTCCGTGTGTCACGTTTGCAAACGGTTTGGTGACGACTTCTGTTTAATGCCGTGCTCCCGTTGCAAATTGATCTACTATTGTGGTCCGGAGCATCATGAGCAACACTGGGAGCAACACAAATTGTTATGCAACGCCGTAGAGGACGTGTTGCAAATCTCCAGCGCGGAAGATTGTGGTGAAACGTTGAAGAAGTGGGATAACAACAGCAAAATTACATTCATGTGGCTAGTTTCAGAGAAGCTAGGTCGTCCCCTGGAGCGGTACGAGAAGCAAATGCTCCAGTTTCCTAGAGAGTGCCTCGTCTGCCAGGAACTGGACGTTCAGTTGCTGGAGGATTGTCGGGACTGCGCTGCGAGCTACTGCAAAAATCACATAGACAGTATTGAGCACAGGGAAACCTGCTCGCCCCTGGCATTGTGTTTTCGTTTAAATTTAGCAACTTTAAAAATAAAATAGACTATCCTACGACTCTGCATTTCTCGCAACAGGTTTCCAGCACGAGTACGTTTCAGGACATGAGCGACTTTATAAACACTTACATGCAAAATGTTTTGACTAACTCGGAAGCGGCATCTTTCCTGCAAGTCGCACGCTCGCAGTTACTGACACGTCCGTTAACGTTGTTTTATGCTATGCGATTATTAGAGTATGCCCCGGAACGTAGAGACCTAATCATTCATGTTGTAGACGCGAATGTCTTAGAAGAGTCAAGCTTAATGGGGTGGAGTGTCTTGCTAGATTTAATCGATGTATCGTCAGTCATAATTGTAATGATTGGGCCGACATTAAAGTTACAATCCCCCTTGTCACGCGATTTTGATGGGTTGCGGCGGAAAAAATATCTGTTAGAGTTTCATCCTGTGTTGTATGAGGAGTACGTACGCAGCCCGTCATTCGTCAAGCCGGATCTGGTTGTAGGATTTAACGCGTATATTCTGTATGAACTTGACTCCCCTAAAGAAACGTGGGCGCCGGCCATACGGCTGATAGCGAAACAGAATTGTCCATTCGTTTTAACGTGTTACGAGCGACGGTATTTAAAGTACAAGGCTGATAGGATAAACACCATCCTGGACAGGGAGATAGACTATCTGTACAGCGGAGAGAATCCATTCGCAAGTTTGAAGCCGAACAGATGTCTCAAGGTACAGAAGGTACAGAAGGTGTGTTATCAGAATCAGTGTATACTTGTTTACAGGAGTCTCTGTCCATAATTTAAATTGGAATTTAAGCGACCGACGCGAACTAAAGGATGTGTTTGATGTCGACGAAGACGACGTAACGCGCGCAAAGTGATCAAGAACACGCGTGTTCAATCAAACTTAACGTTTAATAGACGAAACGGACGAAACGTAGAGAAAATTTGTTGTGTTTTTACGAGACGAAGGTGCCCAGACCTGACATTTCCACAGGAACCACTTATTTATAATCTAAAAATACTAAGGACCATTTTCTATTCATAGAGTCGATTGTTCTGCATCAGCCGAGTATAATGGATACAACAGCTGACACGTGGACGCAGTAATTTAAATATTAATACAAATTTGTAATCAAGACAAGCCTTCGTTCAGTTGACCAACAACCAATAGAGAACAAATTGACTTTATCTGCCATTATTTTGACGGTAAAATGAGGTTTCTGACAACATCTCGACGTTAAAGTGATGACAAATGACAGGTCAGGTTGCCAGTTCCGAAGCAAGTTCTCATTGCCGTTTACAGATAATGAATCACCGTATAGACTATAAATGCAACACCAGCAAATTACATTTTATGATGTAATTGGAAATGTAAACGAAAGTACTGGATAATTTAGAGTGTACGTGACGTAAACTTTAGATTTTCGATATCCTCATAACAGGACTTCGGAACGCGTCATTGGAGACAAGCGGCGCGTTACAAACGCGGAGAGACAATCGCCGATTTACCCCTCGACAACCCACGAAATCCAAACATTTCAACACTGTACGTATTTATGATAACCCAGTCCCCAACGAGAAATGACTCGTCGACTGATGTCGAACCGACGTCGAATTTGAAAGTGTCGATGTCGATTCGACGTCGTTTGGAAGAATCGTTTCTGATTGGAAACCCCAGTAGCACAGTGCATTGGCTAAACATTGACCCAATATTTGATTGTATTGGGCCAGTGTTTAGCCACTGCACTGTGCTACTAGGGAAGTGAACTTGATCATTTATCTAGATAACACGTTGTGTGTTCTTCTCTTTAGATCATAGGAGACTGTCGTATCATACAATGAGACCAGCCAGAAGTCATGGAATCTGAAACGAAAAATCAAATATGCTTCAACAACTTCTACGCTACCGTATGTCACGTTTGCAAACGGTTGGGTGATGACGTTTCTTTAAAGAGGTGCAGTGGCTGCAAGTTCATCTTCCATTGCGGTTCGGAACTTCAGAAGCAACACTGAAAGCAGCACAAATCGTTATGCAACGCCGTACTGGATGTGATGTGAACCTATAACATAAAAAAAGTATTATGTAACAGAAGTGGTATAATAAGAAGACGGGCTTCATGCAGAGAAGTTAGGACGCCCCCTTCAGATGTACGAGAGCGAAATGTTCCTGTACCCACGGGAATGCGTTGTCTGCTATGAACTGGACGGTCAGTCGCTGAAGGATTGTGGGGATTGTGCCGTCAGCTACTGTAAAGATCACATAGACGGTAGTGAATATAAGAACATCTGCGTACGTGGCCCTGGGATTACGTTTTTGTATAAATCTACACCGTATAAGTGGCAACAGCTCTATGAAACTGGATTACTTAGCAAGTGTTTCCAACACGGAAACGTTTGAGGACATGAAGGAATTTACACACGAGCGAAATAGAGTTTAATGTTCAACAGACGCAACGGAAATCATGTGTTATAGAAAATTTGTATGAACTATCGTCGCGAAATGTTAAAGTGACGAAAAATAACATTGACCAGCAATGAAATGATTCATCGATCAATGAAATATCGATACCGTCAAATTTATGTACATCGATTCGACATCGTTCCGACATTGATCGACGAATCATTTCTCTCTGGGTAGGTTGCTATTTGCGGAGCGATCTGATTTCAATGCTTGCATACAAGGTGCACGTGTTGTAAATGCAACGCCAACAAATTTATATATTTCATGATGTCTTTGGAAATTAATGCGGGAACATTAAAACTCCCCAGTAAGAAATAACCTGTCGATCGATGTCGAAGTGATGTCGATACGTACATCGTTTCGACGTCGATCGACAAGTCATTCTCGCTGGGTCTAGCGTTAAATCGTGGTCAGAAAAGTCGTCCGACGTTTCGTGATAAATTTCGGAAATACAATATACCATGCGAGATATTATACCTTTTGCTCACTGATATATGCACTGACGCATTATTAGAGCAAAGCCAGTGTGAAATGGTTCGTCGAAACGGTGTCGATCGACATCGACATTGTCAAATTCGACGTCAATTCGACATCAATTTCAACGGATCGATGTCGACGACATCGCTTCCACATCGATCGACTAGTCATTTCTTACTGGGAACGATATGCATATCTATGCTATGACACACACGAATATTCCGAAATTTGTTCTAACACGTTGGTCAACCTTTTTGACTATGACCGTACGTGGCGTAACTATATTTTCGATATCCTTAAAACAATTCGGAACACGTGCTCTTGAAAAGAGGGTTAACAGCACGAGAAGAAAATTACCGATTTCCGCATGCGCAACAAGGCACGACCTACGAAATCAAAACATTCTACCACTGTAAGTATTTATACTAAGGAAATCTGACCGTTTACTCAGATAACACTTTGCGTGTACTTCTTTCTAGATCGAAGGAGACCTTGTCGAATAATATAACGAGACTGTTCAGAAGATATGGAATCAAAGACGAGCAATCAAGTACATATCGCCTATAACGACTTCTTCTACGCTACCGTGTGCCACGTTTGCAAACGGTTTGGTGGTGACGTCCCTTTGAGAAAGTGCAGTGCCTGCAAGTTGATCTTCTATTGCAGCAAGGAACATCAGAAGCAACACTGGAAACAGCACAAATCGTTATGCAATGCCGTACTGGAAGTGTCGCGAACCTGCAACATAAAACCGTGTACTGCAACATTGGAGGAGTGGGATACTAAGAAGTGGGGATTCATGGGTCTAGTGTCTGAGAAGTTAGGACGTCCCCGTCAGGTGTACGAGAGCGAAATGTTCCTGTATCCAAAGGAATGCGCCGTCTGCTATAAACTGGACGATTATTTGCTGAAGGATTGTAGGGATTGTGCCGCCAGCTACTGTAAAGATCACATAGACAGTAGTGAACATAAGGATATCTGCGGACCCCTGGGATTATGTTTTCGTATAAAACTACAGCGTATAAATGAGGACAGTTTGGGGACTCAGAGATACTTTACACGTGTTTCCAGCACGGATACGTTTGAGGACATGAAGGACTTTATAAAAACTAATGTAAATATACAGTCACCCTTGGGCACGTCCTATGATCTCGTGGAAGCCGCACATTCGCCGTTTCTCACGTGTCCCTTAACGTTGTTTCATGCCATGCGATTATTAGATTATGTCCCAGAACGCAAAGATCTAGTCGTTCATGTTGTAGGCGCGAATATATCAGAAGAAAGAACCTTATTAGAGTGGGGAGTCTTCTTAAATTTAATAAAAATATCATCACTGACGATTGTATTGGTAGGGCCAGAATTAATATTTGACTCCTATACGTTGCCCGATTGCGTATTGCAGCAGAAGGAATGTTCGTTTGAGTTTTACGCTTCGTTATACGAGAACTACGTACGTAGCTCGTCGTTCGTGAAACCGGATCTCGTCGTAAGTTTCAACGGGTTTCTTCATCAGCATGAACTTGAATCCCCTAAGGAAACATGGGCGCCGTCCATACCGCTGATAGCGAAACAAAATTGTCCGTTCGTTTTAACGTGGAGGTACACGAAAGAGCATTTGGAAGACGAGGTTGAAAGAATTAACACCGTCCTAAATAGGAAGATAGACTATTTGTATAAAGGAGAGAATCCATTTGCATGTTTAAGACCGATTAGAGTTCCCATGCCGCAGAAAGTGATGTATCCGAATAAGTATGTAATTGTCTACAGGAGTCTTTGTCCGTAACTATTAATGTAATTCAAGCGACTAATAAACTATCGGTTGTGTTGCCGAAGAACGCGTAGCACGCACGGAAAGAAAGACATAAGTGAAATCGATCTAAATGTTTAATACACTCAACGGAAAACATGTAGAACGTTTATATGAATAGTCAACGAAAATCGCGGTGTTTCTGCACGAAACAAAGAGATTTAGACCGGACAGCCCACAGGGAGCTTGCATATTCATCATCTAAAAACCCTAGGAATCATTTTTTACACGTAGAATCATAGTATCGTACACTAGTACTTCATAATAGATTATAAATATAATGGCTGACACGTGGATACAGTAATTTAGTAATAAGTAATATAATTTTGTGACAAAGACAAGATTTTGCGTCAATTGTTTGAGATGAAGTTTTATATTTTGATAATAAATACTGGGCATGTACTAATTTAAGTGCTAATTATTTCTCTTCACCGATATTTCTGAAAATTCTGATGTCACATGTTTGTGGACTGTATGAAACTATCTATGACCAAAAGAATGGCAGTGCCCGAGGGTCCCTGGTAGTACTGTAGCATGCCGTTCGTGTAAATATCGTGTACTATTCACGAAGTACATTGTGCACACTATTTTCCAGAAATTTCCTGGTCAACATTTATTGTCATCGTTTCTGTATTTTCTGTTTTATAAAAAATGCCAAGTATGGTCAAGGAAAGGTTGTTAATTATAGCTGGCGATATTGAAGACTATTCTGATTAGTTGACGTATTGCCAGTTCTACAATGAAATGGTTGAGTTCCATATTTTCCAAAATTTATGTTATATCACTGTTCTTTGGGGATTACAACTAAAGACATTTTAGGTAATATTTCAGTTACTGCAGGGGTATTATATAAAGTGCCTGTGGTGAAAAAAGCATGGTGTACTGCGGAAAAATATTTCTTTTCAGAAATGTTAACACCCGGACGTGTCAGCATAGAATCTCCTAGTTGCTAAACAGCTTTCTTTTCCTCTCTTGCTGTACAGAAATACTTGGTAGGACACAGCTTACAAAGATACAGCATTACTGTTATAAAGAAAGGAATATACATTGAAGAATATATTCTGCAGTTAGCTAGATGTACGAGTATTTAATACACCCAATTGTATGTACAAGGAGTTTTTTTGCACAGACTTATTGAACTACCCAGTGTGAAATGATTCATCGATCGATGTCGAAACGATGTCGAATCGACGTCAATTTGACGGTATCGATGTCGGTTCGACATCGTTTCGACATCGATCGACGAATCATTTCTCACTGGATATTTGAAGTTCTGGCACAGAAGTGATATATGTTATCTTAAGCACATATAAATTTCACAAAATATGTCGTAACATATCGTAGGCTATTTTATATTACTGTGACATAGAGAATATTTACATTTTATATATTAGGTACGTGACGAAAACTACAAACTTCCGGTATCCTCATAACACTTCGGAACACGTGTTCTTGAAAAGAGGGTTAAGAGCATGAGAAGAAAATTCCCGATTTACGCATGCGACACAAGGCACGACCACGAGATCAAAACATTCTACCGCTGCGCGTATTTATACTAATTGTAAGTAAACCTGACCGTTTATTTATGCATAGCCAGATAACACTTTGCGTGTACTTCTTTTTAGATCGCACGAAGCCACGTCGTATAATATAACGAGACCGGTCAGAAGTCATGGAATCAGAGACGAGTAATCAAGATTATATCAACTACAATGACTTTTTCAACGCTACCGTGTGCCACGTTTGCAAACGGTTCGGCGATGACGACTCTTTAAAGAGGTGCAGTCGCTGCAAGTTAGTCTTCTATTGCGGTAAGGAACATCAGAAGCAACACCGAAGGAAGCATAAATCGGTATGCAACGCTGTACTGGACGTGACGCAAACCAGCAACATAAAACAGGATGGTATAAGTTGGGCAGAGTGGTATACAAAGAAGTGGGACTACATTGAACTAGTGTCGGAGAAGTTAGGACGTCCGCTTGAGCTGTACGAGAACCAAATGTTCCTGTTTCCAAGGGAGTGCGTCGTTTGTTATAAACCGGACAGTCAGTCGCTGAAGAATTGTAGAGATTGTGCCGCCAGCTATTGTAAAGATCACATAGACGGTATTGAGCATAAGGAAATTTGCGGTACCCTGGGGTTATGTTTCCGTTTAAATCTACAGCGTATAAGTGAGAATTGCGAAGTGTATCACGATTACATTGCGTTTATTTCCAACGCGAATACGTTTGAGGACACGAAGGACTTTATAAAAACTTACGTGAATACACCGACTGACTCGGAATGGTCCTATGATTTCCTGGAAGCCGCGTATTCGCCGTTTATCACAGGTCCCTTAACTTTGTTTTATGCTATGCGATTATTAGATTATGTCCCAGAACGCGAAGATCTGGTAGTTCACGTTGTTGGCGCGAATAGCACAGAAGAAAGTTCCTTGGTAGGGTGGGGAGTCTTGCTGAATTTAATAAAAGTATCATCACTGACGATTGTAATGGTAGGGCCAGAATTGAAAAGTAAATCCTATGAGATGCCCGATTTCATGTTGCAGAAAGAATGTTCGTTTGAGTTTCACGCTTCGTTGTACGAGAACTATGTACGCAGCTCGTCGTTCGTGAAACCAGATATCGTCGTAGGTTTTGACGCGTTTATTCATGAGCATAAACTTGAATCCACTAAGGAAACGTGGGCGCCGTCCATACGGCTAATAGCGGAACAAAATTGTCCGTTCGTTTTAACGTGCAGGTATAATCAACAGGTTTTAGATGAGCAGGCTGAAAGAATTAATACCATCCTGAATAGAAAGATCAATTGTTTGTTCAGCGGAAAGAATCCATTTACTTGTTTAAGACCGAATAGAGTTGCCACAACACAGAAAGTGATGTATGCGAATAACTATGTAATTATCTACCAGAGTCTTTGTCCGTAACTAAATGTAATTCAAGCGACTAACAAACTGTCAGCTGTGTTGCCGAAGAACGCGTAGCACGCACAAAACGAAGGACATAAGTGAAATCTATCTAAACGTTTAATACACTCAACGGAAAACATGCAGAACATTTTTATGAACAGTCACCGTAAATCACGGTGCTTCTGCAAACAAAGAGATTTAGACCGGACAGCCCACAGGGAGCTTGCATATTCATCATCTAAAAATCCTAGGAATCATTTTTTTACACGTAGAATCATAGTATCATATACTAGTACTTCATAATGGATTATAAATATAATAGCTGACACGTGGATACAGTAATTTAGTAATAAGTAATATAATTCTGTGACAAAGACAAGATTTTGCGTCAATTGTTTGAAATGAAGTTTTATATTATGATAATAAATACTGGGCATGTACGAATTTAAGTGCTAATTATTTTTCTTCACCGATATTTCTGAAAATTCTGATGTCACTTGTGTGAGAGATGTATGAAACTATCTATGACCAAAACAATGGCAGTACCCGAGTGTCCCAGGCAATCTTGTATTCTCCCGTTCGTGTAAGTATCGTGTATTATTCACATAATACATTGCACACTATTTTCCTGAAATTTCCTGTTCAACATTGATTGTCATCGTTTCTGTATTTTCTGCTTTATTAAAAATGCCAGGTATGGTCAAGGAAAGGTTGTTAATTACCGTTGGCGATATTGAAGATCATTCTGATTAGTTGATTTATTATCATTTCTACAACGAAATTGTTAAGTTCTTTATTTTCCAAAATTTGTGTTGTATTACTGTTGGGGATTGGGGGATTGCAACTGAAGACATTTTAGGTAATATTACAATTACTGCAGGGGTATTATATAAAGTTCCTGTGGTGAAGAAACCATGGTACTTCGGAAAAATATTTCTTTTCAGAGATGTTAGCGCGCGGACATGTCAGCATGCGAATCTCCTCGTTGCTAAACAGCTTTCTTTTTCACTCTTGCTGTACAGAACTATTTAGTAGGACACAGCTTATAAGGATACAGAATTATACAGAGCATTTACAGAATATATGTCTCTTATATGGATAAATTCATCTCTATAGTCTCTCTGTTATAAAGAAAGGAATATATTGAAGAATTCTGCAGTTAGCAAGATGTATTTAATACACCCAATTGTATATACGAGAAATTTTTTCCACAGACTTATTGAACTATTTGCAGTTCTGGCACAGAAGTGAAGTTATTTTATGTATACATATAAATTTAAAAAAATATGTCGTAACATATCGTAGGCTATTTTATATTACTGTAACATAAAGAATATTTACATTTTATATATTAGGTAAGTGACGTAAAGTATAAACTTCCGGTATCCTTTATAATACTTCGGAACACGTGCTCTTGAAAAGAAGGTTAAAAGCACGAGAAGAAAATTCCCGATTTACGCATGCGCCACAAGGCACGACCACGAGATCAAAACATTCTACCGCTGCGCGTATTTATACTAATTGTAAGTAAACTTGACCGTTTATTTAAGTATAGCCAGATACCACTTTGCGTGTACTTCTCTGTAGATCGAACAAAGCCACGTCGTATAACATAACGAGACCGGTCAGAAGAAATGGAATCAGAGACGAGTAATCAAGATTATGTCAACTACAACGACTTTTTCAACGCTACCGTGTGCCACGTTTGCAAACGGTTCGGCGATGACGGCTCTTTGATGAGGTGCAGTGGCTGCAAGTTGATTTCCTATTGCTCTCCGGAACATCAGAAGCAACACCAAATGGAGCATGAATCGGTATGCAACGCTGTACTGGACGTGACGCAAACCAGCAACATAAAACAGTATGGTACAAGTTGGGTGGAGTTGTATACAAAGAAGTGGGACTACATTAAACTAGTGTCGGAGAAGTTAGGACGTCCCCTCGAGTTGTACGAGAACCAAATGTTCCTGTTTCCAAGGGAGTGCGTCGTTTGCTATAAACTGGACGGTCAGTCGCTGAAGAATTGTAGAGATTGTGCCGCCAGCTACTGTAAAGATCACATATACGGTATTGAGCATATGGAAATTTGCGGGCCCCTTGGGTTATGTTTTCGTTTAAATCTACAGCGTATAAGTGGGAATTGCAAAGTGGATCATGCTTACATTGCGTTTATTTCCAACACGAATACGTTTGAGAACACGAAGGACTTTATAAAAACTTACTTGAATACATCAACTGACTCGGAATGGTCCTGTGATCTCCTAGAAGCCGCACATTCGCCGTTTATCACAGGTCCCTTAACTTTGTTTTATGCTATGCGATTATTAGAGTATTTCCTAAAACGCAAAAATCTAGTAGTTCACGTTGTTGGCGCGAATAGTACAGAAACAGATACCTTAATAGGGTGGGGAGTTTTGCTGTATTTATTAAAATTATCATCACTGACGATTGTAATGGTAGGGCCAGAATTAAATTGTACATCCTATGCGTTGCCCGATTTCATATCGCAGCAGAAAAAATGTTCGTTTGAGTTTCACGATTCGTTGTACGAGAACTATGTACGCAGCTCGTCGTTCGTGAAACCAGATATCGTCGTAGGTTTTGACGCGTATATTCATCAGCATGAACTTGAATCCACTAAGGAAACGTGGGCGCCGTCCATACGGCTGATAGCGGAACAAAATTGTCCGTTCGTTTTAACGTGCAGGCATAATCAACAGGATTTAGATGACCAGGCTGAAAGAATTAATACCATCCTCAATAGGAAGACATATTGTTTGTTCAGCGGAAAGAATCCATTTACTTGTTTAAGACCGAATAGAGTTCCCACGACACAGAAAGTGATGTATGCGAATAACTATGTAATTGTCTACCAGAATCTTTGCCCGTAAGTAAATGTAGTTCAAGCGACTAACAAACTGTCGGCTGTGTTGCCGATAAACACGTAGCATGCCGGAAACGAAGGAAAGTAAAATCGATTTTAACGTTTAACACACACAACGGAAACATGTAGAATGTTTATATGAATAGTCAACGAAAATCGCGGCGTTTCTGCACGAAACAAAGAGATTTAGACCAGACGTTCCACAGGAAGCTTGCATATTCATAATCTCAAAATTTTAGGAATCATTTTTTACACATTGCATTGTGGTATATTATAATTAGTAGTTTGTAATGGATTATAGATATAACAACTGACACGAGGCGACGGTAACTTAGTCATAAGTACAATTATGTGACAAAGACGGAATTTTGCATCAATTGTTTGCAATAAAGTTTTGTATTTTCATAATAAATATTGGGCATGTACGAATTTAAATGATAATTATTTCTCTTCACCAATAGCTCTAAAAATTTTTATCGCACGCATGACAGCTGTGTGGAACTATGTATGTCTATGACCAAAAAATAGCAGTGCCTGAGTGTCCCAGGCAGTCCTGTATCCTGACGTTCATGTAAGTATCGTGCATTATTAACAGACTATTACACATTGCACACTATTTTCCAGAAATTTCTTGGCCCACATTTGTTGTCATTTTTACAACGAAATTGTTAAGTACTTCCTTTTCGAAACTTTGTGCTACATAACTAGTCTTTAGGGATTGCAGTCAAAGACACTCTAGATAATATTTCAGTTACTGCAGTGGTATTATGAAGTCAAAAGTATTTTTTTTAGAAATGTCTTCGCGCGGACGTGACAGTATTGAATTTCCTAGTTACTAAATATCAGCTTCCGTTTCCTGACTTTTTTGTGTCTGACTTGAAAGTATTCTTCAGTTAGAAAGATGTCTTGCAATATTTAATGCACCCATTATATGTACAAGGAATTTTTGCACTCGATGATTGAACTATTTGTATTTATTGCACAAGAGTCATACACAGTGGGAAATGATTCGTTGATCGATGTTGAAACGATGTCGAATCCATGTCAATTTGTCGTTGTCGATGTCGAATCGATATCGTCGCGACATCGATCGATGAATCATTTCTCACTGGGTATGATCTTAAAAAACGAATAAATTTGAAACAATATGTTTCAACATATTGTCGTAGGCTATTTCATATTATTGTAACATTAAGGATATTTACATTTTATATATTGTGTACGTGACGAAAAGCTACAAACTCTCGGTATCCTTAGAACACTTCGAAACACGTACCCTTGGAAAGAGGGCCCAGTCAGAAATTACTCGTCGATCGACGTCGAAACGATGTCGAATCGACGTCAATATGGCGGTTTCGATGTCGACGCGACATCGTTTCGACGTCGATCGACGAGTTATTTCTGGCTGGGGGATAACCCAGTGAGAAATGATTCGTCGATCGATGTCGAAACGATATCGAATCGACATCGATCGACGAATAATTTCTCACTAGGAAAGGCATGAGAAGAAAATTACCGATTTACGCATGCGCCACAAGACATGATCTACAAAATCAAAACATTCTTCCAGTGCACGTCTATACTATTAGAATCTGACTGTTTCTTCAGACAGCACTTTGCGTGTACTTCTCTTCACATCGAAGAATACCTTGCCGAGAAGTAACGAGCCTGGTCAGAAGACATGGAATCAAAGACGCGTGAACAAGCTCAACTCGATTATAACCAGTTCTTCTACGCTAACGTGTGCCACGTTTGCAAACGGTTCGATGATAGCGGTTTTTTAAAAAAGTGCAGTGGCTGCAAGTTGATCTTCTATTGCAGCCAGGCACATCAGAAGCAACACCGAGAGCAGCACAAATCGCTATGCAACGCCGTAATTAAAGTTGGACGAACCTACAGCTTAAAAAGATGTTCTGAAACACCGGCGGAGTGGCTTACTATGAAGACGGACTTCATGCGTCTAGTGTCAGAGACGTTAGGCCGTCCCCTTCACACATACGAAAGGCACATGTTCACGTTTCTAAAGGAGTGCGGCATCTGCTATGAACGGGATGAGCGGAAGCTGATGGAATGTAGGACTTGTGTCTCCAGCTACTGTAAATTTCACATAGACAGTAATCACCATGAGTATATCTGCAAAGATCTTGGATTATGTTATCGTGTATATCTACACCGTATAAATGAGAACCGTTTTGCAATTACGGATAACTTTGCACTTGTTTCCAACACGAATACGTTTGAAATGAAGGACTTTATAAAAACTAACATATATATACAGACTCGCACGGTAATGCCCTACGATATCCTGGAAGCCGTATATTCCCCGTATGTCACGTGTCCCTTAACGTTGTTTCATGCTATGCGATTATTAGACTATGTCCCAGCAAACTCAAAAATTCTAGTCGTTCATGTTGTAGGCCCGAGTACGTTAGAAGAAAATACTTTAGCAGGGTGGGGAGTCTTGCTACGTTTACTAAAAATATCGTCTCTGATAATTGTAATGGTAGGGCCGGAATTAAAACTGGAATACTATGAGTTGCCCGACTGGATGTTGCATGAGAATGTATGTATATTTGAGTTTCACAAGACGTTGTACGAGGACTACGTACGCAGCACGGCGTTCCTAAAACCGGATTTCGTTGTAGGATTTAATGCGCATATTGACGAACGTAATCTTGGGACTCCTGAAGAAACGTGGGCGTCATGCATACGTATCATAGCGAATCTAAAGTGTCCGTTCGTTGTAACGTGTAGGTACACATGTGAATATTTGGAAAACGAAGTTGAAAGAATTAACACCATCCTAAATAGAAAGATACACTATAAGTATAAAGGAAAGAATCCATTTGCTTGTTTACAACCGATTAGAGTTCCTCTACCGCAGAAAGTGATGTATACGAATCAATATGTAATTATCTACAGGAGTCTTTGTGAGAAACTAAATGTAATTCAACGATTAATGACTAACAAACTGTGGACTGCGTTGACGGAAAACATGTATCACGCCGGAAACGAAGGACATAAGTGAAATCGATTTTAACGTTTAAGACACACAACGGAAAACATGTAGAATGTTCATATGAATAGTCTACGAAAATCGCGGCGTTTCTGCACGAAACAAAGTGATCTAGACCAGACATTCCACAGGGAACTGGCATATTCATAATCTCAAAATTTTGGGAATCATTTTTTACACATTGCATTGTCGTATATTAGTAGTTTGTAATGGATTATATATATAACAACTCACACGAGGCGACAGTAATTTAGTAATAAGTACAATTCTGTGACAAAGACAAGATTTTGCATCAATTGTTTGAAATAAAGTTTTATATCATCATAATAAATATTGGGTATGTACGAATTTATGTGATAATTTTTTTCACCGATAGCTCTGAAAATTCTTGTGTCACACGCGTGACAACTGTATGGAACTATTGTATATCTATGACCAGGAAATGGCAGTACCAGAGTGTTCCAGACACACCTGTATCCTGACTTTTATGTAAGTATCGTGTATTATTCACACAGAATTACGCAATTACACTACTTTAAAGCAAATTCTTGGCCAACATTTATTGTCATTTTTACAACGAAATGGTTAAGTTCTTCATTTTCGAAACTTTGTATTACATCACTATTCTTTAGGGATTGCGACTAAAGACATTTTAGATATTTCAGTTACTGCAAGGGTATTTTATAAAATCAAGACGTCTGCTAAAAAAGTATAGTATTTCGGAAAAATATATTTTTTCAATAATGTTAGCGGGCGGACGTGTCAGCATTGAATCTTCTAGTTCCTAAACAGCTTTTATTTTCACTTGTTCTCTCTTGCTGTACAGTACTACTTGGTAGGACACAGCTTATATGGATACAGCGTTGCAATGCATCTACGGAATATACGTCTCTTATATTATATTAATAAATTCATGTCTATATTATCTCTGTTATAAAGAAAGGAATATACATTGAAGAATGTATTCTGCCGTTCGCAAGATGTATTTAATGCACCCAATTGTATGTACTAGAAATTTGTTGCACAGACTTATTGTACTATTTATGGCACAGGACTTATGTTATCTTAAAAAACATACAAATTTCAAAATATATGCCGTAACATATTATCGTAGGGTATTTCAAATTACTGTAACGTAAAGAATATTTACATTTTATATATTATGCACGTGATGTAAACTACAATCTTTCGGTAGCCTCATAACACTTCGGAACAGGTGCTCTTGAAAAGAGGGTTAAAAGCGCGAAAAGAAAATTCCCGATTTACGCATGCGCCACAAGGCACGATCTACGAAATCCAAATATTCTACCAATGCGCGTCTTCATACTATGTAAATCTGACCGTTTACTCAGCCAACACTTTGCGTATACTTCTTCTTAGATCGAAGGAGACCTTGTTGAATAATATAACGAGACTGACAAAAAGACATGGAATCGAAAACGAGTAATCAAGATCATATCGAGTACAATGAGTTCTTCTACGCTACCGTGTGCCACGTTTGCAAACGGTTTGGTGATGACGTCCCTTTAAAGAGGTGCAGTGGCTGCAAGTTGATCTCCTATTGCAGCAAGGAACATCAGAAGCAACACTGGAAGCAGCACAAATCGTTATGCAACACCGTACTGAACGCGACGCGAACCCGCAACATAAACGAGTACTGTGGAACAGCTTTGGAGTGGTATAATGAGAAGACGAGCTATATGCAGCTAGTGTCAGCGAAATTAAGACGTCCCCTTCAGATGTATGAAAGCGATATGTTCATGCATCCAAAGGAGTGCGTCGTCTGCTATGAAGTGAACGGTCATCTGCTGAAGGATTGTAAGGATTGTGCCGCCTACTACTGTAAAGATCACATAGACGATATTGAACATAAAAATATCTGCGTGGCCCTGGGGTTAGATTATCGTATACGCCTACAGCGTATGATTGGCAAGAGCTTTCTGGACCTGAATTACGTGGCATATGTATCCAAGGCGGATACGTTTGAGAACATGAAGGAATTTATAAAAACTTACCCGAATATACAGAGTCATTCGGAATTGTCCTGTGATATCCAGGAAGCCGTACATTCGCAGTATGTCACACAGCCCTTAACGTTGTTTAATGCCATGCAATTATTAGAGTATGTTCCAGATCGGAAAGATCTAGTCATTCATGTTGTAGGCGCGAATAAGGTAGAAGAAACTACTCTAGCAGGGTGGGGAGTCTTGCTAAATTTAATAAATATATCATCGCTGATGATTGTAATGGTAGGGCCAGAATTAAATTGTAAATCCTATACGTTGCCCGACGGTTTGTTTCCGCAAAAAGAATGTTCGTTTGAGTTTCACGATTCGCTGTACGAGAACTACGCATACAGCTCGTCGTTCGTGAAACCGGATATAATTATAGGATTTAATGCGTGTATTCAAGAGTATAAATTTAGGTCCCCTGAAGACACGTGGACGGCAGCGATACGTCTCATAGCGAAAAAAAACTGTCCGTTCATTTTAACGTGCGATTACACGCAAGAGCATGTCGAATACGAGGCAGAAAGAATTAACACCATCCTAAATAGGCAGATAGATTGTTTGTACAGCGGAAAGAATCCATTTACAAGTTTACGACCTTATAGAGTTGCCATGTCACAAAAAGTGTCCTATGCTAATCACTACGTAATTATCTACAAGAGTCTTTGTCGGTAACTAAATGTAATTCGAGCAACTGACGAACTATCGGCTGTGTTGCCGAAGAACATGTAGCACGCGCGAAATGACGGACACAAGTGAAATTTAGCTAAACGTTTTACACACCCAACCTGAAAATGTAGAAAATTTGTACGAACAGTCAACGTAAATCGCTGCGTTTCTGCACAAGAGAAACAAAGAGATTTATGCCCGATTTCTTCACATCCGGTTATGTTGCGGTTAAAGTTAACCAGGAGATAAACTACCAGATCCATGCACGTGATTGGCTAAAACTTGAAATTAACCTCCGGATAATTTTATCGGGAAGTGAAAAAATCGGCCATTAGACTTGACATTCCACAGGGAGCTCGTATATTTATAATCTAAAAATTCTAGGGATCCTTGTTTACACATATAATCGGATTGTCCTATATTAGTAGTTCATAATAGATTATAAATATAATAGCTGACACGTGGATGCAGTAATTTAGTAGTAAGTTAATACAATTCTGTGACAAAGAAAAGCCTTTTCGTTAACAATTTGTAATAGTTTTATATGTTTGTAATAAACACACATCGAGCAGGTACATACGAAGCAGTAATTATTTCTCTTCTCCACCGATATCTTTGAAATTTCTCATGTCACACGCGTAATAGCTGCCTGGAGGAGTCGACGACCCAGTGGCAGTGACCGAGTGAGTATCCTTGGCAACATAGTTTCCTGAAGTTTGTGCAAGTATCGTGTATTCACATAAGTACTCGTTGCCAGTATATTGCACAGCGGTTGCAAGAATGTTCTTGGAATTACTTGGCCATCTTACATGGCTATTTTTACAACAAAATTATTAAGTTCTTTATTTTATAAAATTTGTAAGCGTGTCATTTCTGTTCTTTGGGGATAACATCTAAAAATGCTTTAGGTATATTTCGTTTACTGGGCCATTTACACTGCATCTGGAAAAGAAGCATAGTATTTCGGAAAAGTGTTACTTTGCCGAAATATTTTTGGGCGAGTCAGCCTGTCGGCATAGAATCTCCTAGATATTGTAATAAATAATTTTCTTTGTGTCACCTTTCCTCTCCTGTTTTACAGTACTACATGGCAGGACATAGCTTATAAAGATGCAGCGTTACAACTAACTATTTATAAAATATCCCTTGTATTATGTACACACACGTGTATTAATAAATTCATCTCTGTTAAAATGGAAGAAAAATACATAGAAGAATTATATATTCTGCAGGTAGAAAGTTGTATTTAATGTTTTCACTTGTTCACATATGTATAAAAGGAACGTTTCGAACGCAATTGTTAAAGAATTATTATTTATATCACAGGAGTTATATTATCTTAAAAACAATATCAAATTGACAAAAAAAATATTGGTATGTCATATTATCGTAAACGATATTATATTATTGTATCATTAAAAATGCGACTTGGAAATTTTATATGTAGCATACGTGACGTTATCTATACACTTTCAATATCTTCATAGTACACTTCGGAACGTTCCATTGGAAACAGGTCTAAAACACGAAATGAAAATGACTGCTTTACGCGTGCGCCAGAAGGCACCTACAAGATCAAAACATTCTAGCACTGTACATACTTAAAAGGTGTGACTGTTTCTCTGGATTACACGTTGTGGTTACTTGTCTTTAGATTGCCGAATATTTTGGCGTATAATATAATAAAGAGACCAGGCAGAAATCATGGAACCTGAAACAAGAAATCAAGATCATATCGCCTATAACAACTTCTTCTACGCTACCATGTGTCACGTTTGCAAACGGTTTGGCGACGACGTTCCTTTAACGAGGTGCAGTGGCTGCAAGTTGATCTCCTACTGTAGTCCGGAGCATCATCAGCAACACTGGGAGCAACACAAATCGTTATGCAACGCCGTACAGGACGTGATGCCAACCTGCAGCATGGAAAACCGTGGTTCAACTTTCTTGGAGAGGGCACAGACGAAGCTCACTGTTGTACAGCTAGTGGAAACGAAGCTGGGACGGAGACTGTTGGGCTACGAGGAACAAATGTTTGTATATCCAAAGGAATGCGTCATCTGCAATGAACTGGACGGTCAGTCGCTGAAGGACTGTCGAGATTGCGCTGCCAGCCACTGTAAAGATCACATAAACGGTACTGAGCATAAGGATATCTGCGGGCCGCTGGGTCTATGTTATCGTTTACATGTATCACATTCAAGCGTGAGCAAAAAACTAGAGGTGCGATTTTGTGCACATACTGCGAAATCGGATACGTGTCAAGACATGCACGAGTTTATAGCCACTTACGTGGATCTTACCGTTCACCAGGAAGTATCGTCCGATTTATTGAAGCTCGAGTACTCGCAGTATCTCTTTCGTCCCTTAACGTTGTTTCATGCTATGCGAATATTAAAATATGTCCCAGAACGCCAAGATTTAATCATTCATGTTGTAAACTCGACTCAGTTAGATGTGGCCCACTTCACAGGATGGAATATGTTAATCATGCTGAAGTTGATAGAGGTAACATCACTGAAGATTATAATGATAGGGGCAGATATCGAATGTAGATTCCACGCGTTACTCGAGTCTGAGCAGCAAAAGAAAGAATGTTCGTTTGAGTTTCACAATATGTCGTACGTGAGCTACGTAGGCAGCTCGTCGTTCGTGAAACCGGACCTGGTGGTAGGATTTGACTCAGGCGTTGAAATGAATACACGTGTATCAAGTGAGGAAACGTGGATACAGCTGATAGCGAAACAAAATTGTCCGTTCGTTTTAACGAGTTATACGCAGAAAGATTTAGAGACCGAGATAGAAATAATAAACACCATTCTGGATAGAAAGGTGAAATATCACTATAATGGAGAGAATCCATTTGCTAGTTTCAGGCCGTATAGAGCTCCCAGTCCGAAAGTGGTTTATTCGGGTCGATGTCTAGTTGTGTACAAGAGTCTCTGTACGTAACTAAGCGTAAGTTAAGCAACTGACACAAACTACCCAGATACAAAATGCATGTCTGAAAGACAATGTTAGGATGTCTTTAAACAGTTTTTAAATTATCTTTGAAAGATGTATGTTTAAAAGATGCTCTTTAAAGACGTCTTTCCCAGTGAGAAATGATTCGTCGATCGACGTCGAAACCACGTCGAATCGACATCGACACCGTCGAATTGACGTCGATTCGACATCATTTCGATGTCGATCGACGAATCATTTCTCACTGGGTTATTGTCGTTTTTTAGGCACGCATGATGTCTGGGTAAATGCGCTGTGTCTGATAGCCAAAAACATATAGCACGCGCGAAACGAAGAACACGAGTTAAATCAAACTTGACTTTTAATAGACGTAACGGGATATGTGTAGCAAATTTGTATGACCAGTCACCGTAATTAAATTGCGACATTTCGTCACGAATCAAAAGGTGTATATTCCGTTTCACGATGCGCATGTTGCATAATTTATCCCGGCTTATGTAACATTTAGTGAATAGCAAGTATAAATGGCAAAAATAGCAAGTATTACATTATGAACAGCATGCATGAAACGGAACGCACCTACAGAGACTTGGACCTGACATTCCACGGGAAGTTTACGTATTTATAATCTAAAAAACTTTAGAGATTATTTTTTATCTACACACTGAGGAAAATATCCTGGCTTATCTAATCGGATAATGAACTACATGTTAACGAACGGATATATTAAATTTAATTGTACTCGTATATCCGATAAAAAACCATAAACGGTTTTTCGATGAAATTTCATCGGTAACCGCAATTTCATTGGATAAATTTCATCGAATATGTTCATCATTTAATCAGAAAACTTAATTAGAAAGTAGATGTTTTTTTTTCTATCGAAAACACTACTTAGTTGATTTATCCAATGAAAATTGTACTCAGTATATAATTGAATTGTCCTGTATTAGTAGTGTTTAATGAATTATGAATATAATTATAGTTGACACGTGGATGCAGAAATTTAGTAACATCATGACAATAATTTAGTAAATACAATTGTGTATAATAACGACAAGACTTCGTGAATTGTTTGTTATAACGTTTTATACCTTTGTAATAAATCCTAGCATATACGAGATGGTAATAATTCAATTCTTTTGTTCATCGATATCTCCGCAATTTCCTATATCACGCGCGCTGCCTGGGACAGTCGGCGATAAATAATGATCAAAACAATAACAGAGACTGATTGTGAGTATGAATATTTCTTGGGGATGGCATCTAAAGATGTTTTGGTGAACAGTTTTCTTTTCTTTCTGCTTCTCTCTCTCTCTCTCTCTCTTATTCTACAGTATAATACTTGTGCTCTACAGTGCTACATGGCAGGACATAGCTTAGAAAGGTACAACTAACATTTTACCGAATATATATCCCTTATATATGATATAATAATAAATTCATCGCTAGAGCATCTCCGTTAACTGGGGATAAAAATTAATTAAATAAAATATGCAACAATTAGAAGGAAAGTTGTAATAAATACTCCTACTTGTATGACAAGGAATGTTTTACACGCAGTTATGAAACTGTTCTAATTATTTATATCACAAGAGCTGGTTTATATTAAAAAACATAAAATTGACAAAAATATATTGTTATGTCATATTATCGTAATCTAAATCACATTATTGTAACATTCAAAAAGCGACTTTGATATTTTACTTGTAGCATACGTGACGTTATCTATAGACTCTCGATGATTTCATAATACACTTCGGGACGTGCCATTCGAAAGAGGGTTAATAGTGTAGGGAAAAAATCACCGATACATATACGTGCGCCACAAAGGGTAACCTGCGAAATCAAAACACTCCAATATTGTGCATATTTATAATAAGTGAACTTGACCTTTTTATCTGGATTACACGTTGTGGTTACTTGTCTTTAGATTGCACGAGACTTTGTCGAACGGTATAACCAGATCAGCCAGAAGTTATGGAAATTGAGACTGAGGAATATTACCATCATACTGCGTATAACACCTTTTTCTACGCTACTGTATGTCACGTTTGTAAAAAGTTTAGTGGCTATGTCTCTTTAAAGAGATGCAGTGGCTGCAAGTTAATCAGCTATTGTGGTCCGGAGCATCAGGCGCAACATTGGGAGCAGCACGAATCGTTCTGCAACGCCGTACAAGCCGTGTTGCAAACCTGCAGCATGGAAAGTAGTGGTACAACTTGGGAGGAGTGGAAACGGAACAAGTTACTTTTCGGACGGAAAGTGGAAACGAAGCTGGGACGGAGGTTGGAGATATATGAGAAACAGATGTTTCTGTTTCCAGAGGAGTGCGCCGTCTGCACTAAACTGGACGATCAGAATCTGACAGATTGTGAATTTTGTGCTGCCAGCTACTGTGAATATCACATAGATAGTATACAGCATAAGGAGATGTGCGAGCCGCTGGCAAAGTGTTATGATATAAATTTAATACTTTTCACGAAGAATAACGAACTGATTCTGTGTTACTTTCCGAAAACTGCTACGTTTCAGGACATGGACGGGTTTATAGACACTTACGTGTATCTTGACGTTTACCCTGAATTTTATGTGCCCGCTCTCGTAAAGTTAGTGTACTCGCAGCATCTCTTTCGTCCCTTAACATTACTTCATGCGATGCGATTATTAAATTATGCCCCAGAACGGAAAGATTTAATTATTCATGTTGTAAACGCGACACAGTCAGATGTGGATAGCTTCACAGCATGGAATGTGCTAATCATGCTGAAGTTGATAGATGTATCATCATTAATGATTGTAATGATAGGGCCAGAGTTCACACGTAGATCCCATGCGTTACCTGAGTCTCAGGGGCAAAATAAAGAATGTTCGTTTGAATTTCACGTTATGTCGTACGAGAACTACGTAAACAGCTCGTCGTTCGTAAAACCGGACCTGGTCGTAGGATTTATCTCGCATATTAAAATGCGTACACTTAAATCGTGTAACATGTGGGAATTGTCGGTACGGCTGATAGCGAAACAAAATTGTCCGTTCGTTTTCACAACTTGCATGCAAGAGTGTTTAGATGTCAAGGCAGAAGCCATAAACACCATTCAGAAGAGAAAGGTAGACTACATCTATAAAGGAAACAATCCATTTGCTAGTCTCAGACCGCATAGATATCTCGGGCCGCAGAAAGTGTTTTATATGGGTCAATATCTAGTTGTGTATAAGAATTTGTGACCGTAATTAAGCGTAATTTAAGCGATTGATACAAACTATCCAGATACCAAACGTATGTCTAGAAGAAAATTGTTAGATATTTTTATGTTGTTTTTCAGTTGTCTCTTAGACGTATGTGTCTAAATGATATCTGTTAAGGACGTCTTTATGATGCTTTTAGGCACGTTTGCTCTCTGGGTAAATGCGGTGTGTTTGATAGACAAGAGAAAAAGATACGACGCATTATACAAACGACACGAGTTAAATCAAACTTAACTTTTAATAGACGTAACGGGAAATGTATAGCAAATTTGTATGAACAGTCACCGTAAATTGTGACGTTTCTTCACGAAACAAAAGGTGCATTCCGTTTCACGATGCGCATGTTGCATAATTTATCCCGCCATGGTAAAAAATTTATTCATTATTAGTTCCTACTTGCCAGTATAATACTAAAATTTGGAATTGTAATAATTATTAATTATTATTATTATTAAAATAATTATTATTTGATATAAAATTTATTTGATATTCGGTAACATAACGAAGATAAATGTATTATTCACAGCACGCATGAAATGGAACGCACCTACAGAGACTTAGACCTGATATTTCACGGAAAGCTTATATATTTATAATTTAAAAAGCTTTAGAGATAAGTTTCTGTTCATATACTTAGAAAAATATCCGTCTTATCTAAACAGACAATCAATTCCATATTAACAAACAGATATATTCCATTAAAGTTTCCAGTAAAATTTATTCGATGACCAATATAATTAGTAAAATATATTTAATTAAATTTCATAGGTAACTGTAATTTTATTGCAAAAATTTCATTGAATATATTCTTAATTTAATTGGAAAACTGACTCAGAAAAACCGATGGTTAATTTGACATAGGAATCACTTCTTAATTGATTTATTAATCGATTTATCTAATAAAAATTGTACCCATTGTTAGTGTAGAATTGAATTGTCCAGTATTAATAGTGCATATGAATTATAGAGTAGCTGAATGCAGTAATTTAGTAACAACATGACAATAATTTAGTAAGTACAATTTTGTAATAACAACAAACCGTTCATAAATTGTTTGTAATTGACATTTGTATGTTTGTAATAAATTCAAATCGAGCATGTACGAAATAGTAATAATTCAATACTCTTCTTCATCGGTATCTTCGAAATTTTCGATACCACGCGCGTGATAACTGCCTGGGATAGTCGACGATCAAAACGATGACAGCGACTGAGTGTGAATATTCCTTGCAGTACAATTTATCCTACTGTTCACGTAAGTATGGCGTATTCATGCCGTTATACAGTATTCTTAAAATTTGTAAGCCAACCTTGATTGCCATTTTTTCAACGAAATTGTTAATTTCTTCAGTTACTAAAATACGTAAGTGTCTCCTTCCTCTTTTTTTGGGGGGGAATTGCATCAAAAATATGTTAAGTAATATTTCGATTAATTGGCTATTATGACGTCATTGCGTCTGGTAACAAAAACGTATTTCAAAGAAATCTTTCTCTTTGAAAATATTGAGGCGGGTCAACATGAAATATCCTAGTTACTAAACAGTTTTCTTTTGTTTCTCGCTTGCTCTCTTACTCTACAGTAATACTTGTGCTGTATACAGTACTACATGGTAGGGCATAGCTTACAATTAGGAAGGTACGGCGTTACTGCTGGAATTTTACAGAAGATATATCCCTTACATCATATTAATGAATTCATCGCTAGAGCATCACCGTTAAATAGGGACAAAAATTAATGAAATAAAGTATACAACAATAGAAGAAACAGCAAGAAGGGACAGCAACTGTGAAACTGTTATAACTATTTATATCATAGGAGTTAAGTTATTTTAAAAAATATATAAGTGACAAATATTGTTATGTCATATTATAATAAACTAAATCATATTATTGTAATATTGGAAATGCAACTTTGACGTTTTATATGTTTTATACTCGTATGTTGCATATGTGACGTTACCTGTAAACTTTCGATGATTTCATAGTACACTTTGGACCGTGCTCATTAGAAAGAGGACCAAAAGTACTAGAAGAAAATTACCGATTTGCGTATGCGCCACAAGGCACGACCTACGAAATGACAACATTCCATCTCTGTGCGTATTCAAAATAAGTGACCTGGACTATTTATCTGGATTACACGTTGTGGTTACTTGTTTTTAGTTTGCAAGAGACTTTGTCGAACGGTATAACCAGATCAGCCAAAAGTCATGGAATCTGAAACGGAAAATCAAGATCATACTGCCTATAACAATTTCTTCTACGCTACCGTGTGTCACGTTTGCAAGCGGTTTAATGGCGACGTCCTTTTGATGAGGTGCAGTGGTTGCTTCTTGATTTCCTATTGCAGTGTGGAACATCAGATGCAACACAGGGAGCAGCACGAATTGTTATGCAACGTTGCAACGGACTTATTTCAACCCTTCTATACGGAAAGTTGTGATACACCATTGCTGGAGTGGGAAGAGAAGCTATCTTTTAAACGGCAAGTGCGAATGAGGATGGGACGGAGGTTGGAGATATATGAGAAACAGATGATTATGTTTCCAAGGGAGTGCATCGTCTGCAATAAACCGGACAGTCTATCGCTGATAGATTGTCGAGATTGCGCTGCCAGCTTCTGTGAAGATCACATAGATAGTATTCAACATAAGGATATATGTGGGCCGCTGGGATTGTGCTTTAAGTTAAATTTATCACTTTTTAACGTGAAGAGCGAACTGACTCTGTGTTACTTTGAGAGAACGAGTACGTTTCAGGACATGAATGGGTTTATAGATACTTGCGTGAATCTTAACGCCCATCCTGATATAGCGTTCGATTTCTTAAAATACGAGTACTCGCAGCATCTCTTTCGTCCCCTGACGTTGTTTCATGCTATGCGATTATTAGATTATTCCCCAAAACGCAAAGATTTAATTATTCATGTTGTAAATGCGACTCAGGCAGATGTGGATCTCTGCGCAGCATGGAATATGCTAATCATGCTGAAATTGATAGATGTATCATCATTGATAATTGTAATGATAGGGCCAGAGTTCGAATGTAGATCCCATGCGTTACCCGAGTCTGAGCGGCAAGAGAAAGAATGTTTGTTTGAGTTTCACGTTATGACATACTATGACTACACGCAGAGCCCGTCGTTCGTGATACCGAACCTGGTCATCGGATTTGACTCGCATATTAAACCGGTTCTACTTAAATCATGTGAGGAAATCTGGGCACTGACCATACCGTGCATAGCGTTAATAAAATGTCCTTTTGTTTTAACGAGTTGCACGCAAGAGTATTTAGATGTCGAGACACAAACCATAAACATCCTTCGGGAGAAGAACTTGGACTACATCTATAAAGGCAAGAATCCATTTGCTAGTCTCAGACCGCATAGAGGTATCGGATCGCAGAAAGTGTTTTATATGAGTCAATATCTAGTTGTTTATAAGAATTTGTGGGGATAATTAGGCGTCTTTTAAGCGACTGACACAAATTATCCAGATACCAAACGTATGTCTAGAAGAAAATTGTTAGATATTTTTATGTTGTTTTTCAGTTGTCTCTTAGACGTTTGTGTCTAAATGATATCTGTTAAGGACGTCTTTATGATGCTTTTAGGCACGTTTGCTGTCTGGGTAAATGCGCTGTGTTTGATAGCCAAGAAGACAAAGTGCAACGCGATAAACAAAAGACACGAGTTAAATCGAACTTAACTTTTAATAGACGAAACAGGAAATGTATGTAAGTTTATAAGTAAATTTGTAAGTACATGTAACCGTACATTGCGACGTTTCTTCTCGAAACAAAAGGTGCATTGCATTTCATGCACATCTTGCATAATTTATCCTAGTTTATTTAACATTTAGTAAATAACAAGGATACATGATATATTATTCATATCACGCATGAAATGGAACGCACCTACAGAGACTTAGACCCGATATTCCACGGAAAACTTATATATTTATAATCTAAACAGATTTAGAGATTATTTTCTATGACACGTTTATGCAGTAATTTAGTAATATCATGACAATAATTTATTAAATACAATTCTGTAATAATGACAAGACTTTTCCAAAATTGCTTGTAATAAAGATTTATATATTTTAATTGTAATAAACATTTGTAATAAAGATTGTAATATAGATTTATATGTTTTATAATAAATACAAATTGAGCATGTACGAAATAGTAATAATTAAATTCTTTTCTTCATCGGTATCTCCGAAATGTCCGGTATCAGCACGCGACAGCTGCCTAGATCAGTGGACGACAAAAAAATGACAGTGACCGAGTATGAATATCCCTGGAAATACAGTTTTCCCTACCGTTTACGTAGTATCGACCCCTATT